TTATTTTGATCAATGTTAACTATAATTTTTTGGGTTAAATATGTTTTTAGTCCCTAAACTATTGACCGTTTCTGGTTTTCGTCCCTCTTCCAAAGTAAGGTACAATTTAGTCCTCAATCTTTAAAAAACGTTCGTTTTAGTCGAAAAACGAACGTTTTGAGGACTAAAACGAGGACTAAAAACAAAATTTTGAGGACTAAAACGAACGTTTTTCTAAAGAATGAGGACCAAATTGTACCTTACTTTGGAAGAGGGACGAAAACCAGAAATGGCCAATAGTTTAGGGACTAAAAACATATTTAACCCTAATTTTTTTTAGTTTGAATTAGTCTAAAGGCTAGTAAAAAAACTTGACCAACATAAAAAGATAACCTTGATTACTAAAATCAATATCAACTAAAAGTAAAATTGAGTAACATTAGCTAAAAAACAATATCGAATTATTATTTTGAATCATTAAATATATTTAATTTTAAACAAAAATTTATATTTAATATTAAAATACTTATTTAAAGATTAGAAAACTTAAATTATTTTATTTAAACATCATAATTGTAACATTCCAAAATACAACATAAAACCATATATAGAATATTCACAATTAATAATATTACAGTTCAGTTCTGAGAAGCAAAGGTACAGATATGGCCGAACGGTCTTATGAAAATACTGCAGAATTTAAACTTTACCAAACTACAGTCTATATCAAATGATTTCAAAACTAAGCTTATACCGAACGATTTTACAAAATAAAACCCAACCTAACGATCGAACGGTCCTAAGGTTCCGCTTTCTCTTCCACTTCTTCTAGAGCTTCAGCAGCTCTTCTCCTTCTGCTCACATCCATAGGATGATCATTGCAACAGAAATAACGACCGAACGGATAAAACAGACAAGACGAAAAAATATAGGGTAAGCTTATGTAATTTAATTAATTCAGTAAAACATATATTTCACATAAATCTAACATAATTCAATATACAACCATGTAACATCCAATCATGCACTTCCAATCAAAATTTCAAGTCAAAGCATGCAATGATTGACCACTTTACTCTGACTGTCCGGACTGTATGAATTCTGTGTAGCTACGACGTTTTTGCACCCGGGTGATGTAATAGCTGGGATGCCCTCAACAACTGCCACCCGAGGTTAGTCCGTTCCGTCTAAGTTCACCTTATGGATTAGGACCTCTTGTCATTCTCACACATGACTTACTCCTCTCTACTTGAGAATGAGTAATCACAGAATATCAGGATAACCGCTAGCTAAGCATAACCACATTCATACTCTACCATTCAATAACCACTCATGAGATATTCCTCCCTGGAATACTCTTTCATTTCCATACCATTCCATTTATATTCTATAATACAATCAAACCGAACCAATACAAACAGATCCCATCTGAAATCAAACTGAACAATAACATTCCCCCAGAGACAAGACCGAACGTTTTGAATACCTTCTAGACTAACACAGCTGAATACTTAGTGCAAGACCGAGCGGTCTTCCACTTATACACCGAATAGGACCGAACGATCCATTCTAGATAAAAACTCATCATAGGCCGAACATTAGTAATAGTATTTGGACTTTTACTTACTACTCAACAGTTACTACAGAATAATATTTTACTAGACCGAACTCCTAAGAATGTACCAAATACTAAATATTACATATAATTTAGACTTAACCGAAAATCATAATAACTATTGCTAGAACCTAAGAACTTAACCGAAGGATAAACCGAACGGTTAATAATGACTCTCGGTTACAATTTACAGAATTATGTAGATTAATGCAGAATCATGATCAACTATGTTTCTACCCAGTTACACCTTTTCATAAATCAACAATACACTCAAACAAACATGCAATATTACAACATCAATCATAACATCATACCATCCAATAAATCATCATCAAACAAGAATTATAATTAAATTACAAGCTTCCCTTACCTCTAAACGTAGCCGAACACTCAACAATGCAGTATTTGGCTCACCACTACCATAAATCTTAGAATTCTACAGTCACGCTTTATGAAACTAACCAACAAAATACCAGAAATACTCAGAATGAGATGATAATCTCATGCAACCAGAATCTGGATTTGCATGTGACAGAAAAACGAACGGTCTAAGAAGAGAAGTACTCACCCGTTTAAACCACAACTTGATCGGTTTAAATGAAAGCCCTTGACGCCGGGAGAGTTCAACCGGTGCCTGATTGGTGATCGGAATAAGAAAAAGATGAGAATTCTTAGAGAAAAGGTGGATATTGTAAAGAGAAGGAGAAGAAAATGGAGATCAACAATTTGGAGAAGAAGGGTATATGCAGAAAAGTGGCACGAAGTTTGAAATTTAGCCTTAAATACTACCGTCACTAAAACCGATCGGTCACTCAGCGCTGCACACCTGTCTTTCACTATCTGAAAATTCAAACCCTTTCATTGACACTTGGCTTCCACTATTTGAAATTTTTAATGGGTTCTGACAATAATTAAAAGATAAAATAACATAAAACAATTTAAAGTTATTGTGTTGTAAATTTTGTAGAAATTATGGAATTATTTGGAACACATATACAAGGGTTGTCTAAGAGGCACAAACACCTACTACTTAGTCAAACATTCAAAAAGGCTTTAAATGCTTTATTGGTCAACCAACCTGAAAGGTATCAGTACTTAAGGGTTAACCAACCTATTTGGATAAGATAAACATTATCCACTTTTATTTTGTTTTAACCTTTTTTAGAAATAAAATGGGTTAAGCATGCATATATTTTATTTTTTAAACTAATTAGTATTTTGAACATGTGTATTGTAAAACATAAATATTTAGTTCTAACTAAAAATAAAAAACAAAGTTAATATTTTTAAATATTGAATGAAAAATTATAATGGATAGTTTAAATCGTTATTATGTTACTTTTAACTATTTGCTAAAAAAACATTAAGATTTAATTCATAAATATAAAAGAGATGAATATAAAATAATGCTAGTTTGGGTTGATTAAGATGTAATGTTTTTTCCTAATTATGAGATTAATGCGTAAAATGTACATTAAATAAAGGTCTCACTTTCTGAGTTAGAGAAGTTGGATATTTTAATTTCTACAATATAATAAATTAGAAGAAAATGTTAGAAATGCAATTTTGAATACACTTTATAGAATAATATTAGCATATTTCATTTATTGGGCATTTCTTATGAGTTTATGGTTTGCAAAGTTTTATCATATAATGTATATTAAGTATAAAATATTGCTAACACTCTTCATATTAAAATACTTCTATCTTATGAATATGCACTATATCTTAATAACTTTACAACATAATCTTCTCTTAGTTATCTCGAACTATACTTAAACCTTTTAACCTTCTATTTCCAAAGTTAGCAAAATGGATTGGAAAATCCCTTACATGCCTAAATCTAGGGCTGGACATAATTCATACTGAAACTAAAATTAACTGAATTATATTATACTTAAAAAAACTAAACTTATTTTAACTAAAACTAATTAAACTATTTTACAGTTCAGTTAAAACAAACTGAACTCTACATAATTTAAGTGCAGTTAACTGTGAACCACAGTTTCTCCCTAACTGAGAATTTTACCCCCAAATTGAAAACCCTTGAAGCTAGGGTTCGAAAGGATTAGGGCTGCTGTGTGCTTCTTCATGTGACAGCCGTGTTTTTCTCTGTGTGGGATCTTCTTCCAGCTCTCCAATCACCATGCCAATCTTCTCTACTGCTGGACCGTGAAGGTCTTCTTCAAGGTGCTGGACGTCTTCTTCTTGTTGCTGGACCGTGAAGGTCCTTGGACAGCCATCCATGCATCCACTTCTTCCAGCTACAATTTACGTGAAGTTTCTTCTCCTCCGTGAACATGCTGGCTGGCTTTTCCAATGAAAAAGATCACTTTCTTGGGTGGATGGATCCCATAGGACGAGACATCACTTCTCTTTGCTCCGTGTTCTTTTCTTCCTTTCAGCATGAGTTCCCATGTGTTTGTCGTTTACAAATTCTTTAATCAACAAAAGTAAGAAAAGGAGGCCATGTGTCCTTGTATTATTTTATTTTCCAGACACTTCAGCAAATGAGCACAAAGTGTAATATAAATTAGTTTACTCAACTGCACTGTCCTATGAGTGGACTAGTGGACTAAAAATCAGTGCAGTTCAGTTCACCCGAACTACTTTTAGTTCAGTTTAGTTTAGGAGAACTGTTTTATAGTTAACTGCAAATTTTTATAGTATAGTGCAGTGGAGTATACTTTGCCCACCCCTAGCTAAATCTAAGCTTAATACGCTAAAACACAAAAAGTATTTTTTTCCTAAGACCTTGAGTCTCTTATCTAAGCTAAAAATACTTTTCTTTTTCCCTTAACCAATTGGTATATTAAACCCAAATTGCATTGACCTTTAACAAGTTAAATTGTTCATTGGATTATTCTAAATTTCAATAATTGAAAACACAATTATTTATATTTTAAAAACATTTATCAATTGTAATTTAGAGATATAAAGGTAGGGTAATTAAGGAAGTTGTCGGCTAATTATAAATATAGTATATAAAGATATTACTTTAGAAAAGAGAAAAGAGAGAATAAAAAAAGTACTAATTTAAGAAAATATAAAAAATTTATTTCATTTTCTAAATCATGTATTATAAATCTGGATTAGACTCGTCTTTCTCATTATCCATCCCTAACCTTCTGCTAAAAAAAATAAATCAACCCCTCGTCTGAAAATAAATAACTTAAAATATATGTACCATACACAGGACACCTATATCCAAGAGGATAATTCAGAAATTCCCTTTTCTTTTTCATTCATGATTTTTTTATCAATTTAGACGAGCTCAGAAAAATAAAAAATGATTTAATACAAATAAGGCCAGAAAAGTATACCAATCAAGGAAAGAATGGCTTGTCTATGTAAGGAAAAATATCCAGGAAAATGGTAGGCAGTAAAAATTGTTGGAGATGAGACGATAATAACAAAAAAAAAAAACAGGAGTTGTGGATTATTCTCTGTCTCAGCCGTCACTCTCATCCTTAAGGGTCCCAATTTCAGATGGAAATGGAGTTTCATCATTTATGACATTTTCCACCTTTGTATTAAAACCAGTCCAATTGCAGATATACAAAATGTAAAATAAAAAAAAAATGGAAATTTACACGGTCTTCTTCATTCACATTATACCCTTTGCTTAGCGATTGCTCCTTCTCTTTCAGTTTTGTGGAGATTTGGTAAAGTTTTTTCCTTTTCGGTAAATTACTTCTGGGTTTAGTTTCTTTTAGAGCCTTGAGTTCCGCTGCTAAGGGTTCAGACATGCATTTGTGCAGAAACAGAAAGACAAGAAAGCGGTGAAAGTGCTGTATTTTTTTAATTAATCGAGCTATGAATTCTCCAATTCATGCCCCTTCACCACCTTCCTCTTCATCTTGCTCGTATAACCGTCCTCCTCCTTGCCTCAGTCCTGGTTCTCGTAATTTCAAGTCACCTCTGTGAGTGTTCCTTTTGACATAGTTGTAGTTATGTGTTCTGAAATTTTCAGCATCTAACTCGTCGGATTCGAAGATGGAGTTATTTACCTTGAACACCATATTTTAAAATCCGATTAGTGGTGGTAGCTGGTATAAGATGACTTCTCGTGTGTTGATCATGGAAGTAAGCATTCCTTAATTATACAATGAAGGTCGAAAGTTGCATTCCGTAGTCTGATATGCAGTTGTCTGAGTTACGTTAAGTTGCTTAAATGGATTTCACTGAATTGTTGTTATTATAGAAGTTCTATATCAAACTAAGATTCTGTACTTCGAAAACATGTAAAGGTTTTGTTGAATCCAATTTTATGATTTATTATAAACAAGAGTTATTTCAAGTACACTTTGCTACCTCTTACCTAAATTTCCATGACCTTAAGCTTCGCATTTTAAGTGATCAATAGGACCTGATTTAAACTCTAGTTCCGATTTCCCCCGTTTTCTTTAAGCTGTGAAGTTCTACAGATCATCCAAATGCCTTTATTTTTATTATTTCCTTCCCATCGTGCATCTGAGCTCAACATGTAACAATTGATGTTTACAGTTCATGTGAATGCCCAAAATTCATCTTGAACTTTTTCCTCATATTAAACTGTGCTTTAATTTTAATATTTTTTTATTTTTATTTTCAAAGGTTGTTGCCACAGACAATCCGTACCTCTCAAAAGATGTATCGCTGCTCTGGAGGCCATGTGGAGGCTTCTTCTAACACTAATCCTTTGAAAAATTATGTAATGGGAAGAAGTACTTCAGGGTGGTTTGAAACACAGCCCTTGGTTTCTGAGCAGTTAGTCAGGAGGCGCTTGTTGCCAGTTGAAGCTTTAGCAACTCCAACAGTTCAAGATTTATCTGATACACCTCTTATCGGTGATGATAAGATTGGAGTGTTATTGTTGAACCTCGGAGGTCCAGAGACTCTAGAAGATGTCCAGCCTTTTTTGTTTAACCTTTTTGCTGACCCAGTAATATTCTAGCTTTAACACACTATCTCTTTGGGCTACTTGTTTNTAACTGAATCAGCTCAAGCTGTCTATTACCAGAGAGGCAACCCAAGTTTTTCTGTTCAAAGTGTGGAGGAGATAATGAAAATTGTGGGAGAAGCAAGGGACCCTCCTCCGGTTTCTAGGCCTGTCAAAGGTTTTGGCTGGGACGGTGAAGAAGAGGAAGGGGAAGAAGATGTGGAGGAAGAGGAGGATGAAGAAGATGAATATGACAAGAGGGTGAAGGAAGTTCATGCCAGTGGAGAATTTCAAATCAGTTAAGCAGTATAATTCTTGTGTTCTTGGTTAAAGTTTCATTTTTTATGCTAGAAGTCACCTATTTTTATGTGTACTATAATTTATATTAACTACTATAAACCAGCGAGGCAGTCTAAGTCACTGCACTGTCCATGTAATGTATTAGTATTACCTGTATCACCATGGAAGTCGTGTATGAAAACAGTAGTTGTCTGATAACTTTTAAATTACTCATCCATTTATAATCCAGCTAGTTAACTTTAAAATGCTTTTATATCACACGAAACAATGACCTCAACCATGTATTGTGCCTTAAGTTCTTGTACTTGGTTCTGGTTTACTTTGAGAATGCTATATCACAGAAAGTGGATGATTATCTTGCTCGAGTCAGAAAATGATTTTAACCATGTACTCATTGTACATTAGTTTTTTTCAAGAGAATTACCACTGGACTAAACTTTAGAAGTGATCATTTAGTTTTTCAAGAGAAATAACAAACATACTTCGGAACTAAATTTGTATATTATAGTTTTAACTTTATATATATATATTTCATGATTCTTAATTTTGTTTTTAGTGAGAAACAATCTCTTTGCTGAACATGTTGCAGACTTCATAACGTTTAAAATAAGTTTAGTCATATTTCGTTTTTAAATGTTATTTATAAGCATTTCTAAAACATAAGTGTTTGTTTCAAAGATACTAAGGAGTAAACCTTTTCATGTGACTTTGCATAGGGCATAGAATATTTTATAGTCTATTAAATGTAGTCTCCAACACTTGAGTGTTATATGATTATTAGTCTATACGTGTTTGAAACGTTGATTCAAATAGTGAACTAGTTAGAAAACTTACAGTTTACATTAGTGTTCGTATTGTATGTTGGTGGGAGATTCTTTTTAGATTGATTAAATATAATTATTTTTCATTATACATATAAGAAAATAGTCTTAGTTGATATTAATTAATATTTTTTTCTACACATAATTGATTTTTTTGTTGATGGGAAAAATACTTTTTTTCTTGAGTTATTTTTCGATGAATATAAATTAATTTTTTTAATTAACATATGTTGGAATTATTTCTTAATTAATGATATTCGGATTTAATAGGTTTTTTTTTTAAAATTAATGGTAGTTGAGTTTTTTTTTTATCGATGATGATAAAATAAATTTTTTGAGTGATTTAACTCTAAATTTTTTTCCATCGATATTTCTTAGGTTATTTTTCGATTGTCATAATCGAAATTATTTATTTGTTGATGTGAAACAATGTTATTTATTAGTTAACGCTAAACAATGTTTTCTCAACTAATGTTGATAACAATTTTTTTTGCCCAAAGTCGACCATGACACCTTTTTAATGTTGAATATAAATAACTTTTTACCTACTTTAAGTAGTATTATTTTGATCAATGTTAACTATAATTTTTTGGGTTAAATATGTTTTTAGTCCCTAAACTATTGACCGTTTCTGGTTTTCGTCCCTCTTCCAAAGTAAGGTACAATTTAGTCCTCAATCTTTAAAAAACGTTCGTTTTAGTCGAAAAACGAACGTTTTGAGGACTAAAACGAGGACTAAAAACAAAATTTTGAGGACTAAAACGAACGTTTTTCTAAAGAATGAGGACCAAATTGTACCTTACTTTGGAAGAGGGACGAAAACCAGAAATGGCCAATAGTTTAGGGACTAAAAACATATTTAACCCTAATTTTTTTTAGTTTGAATTAGTCTAAAGGCTAGTAAAAAAACTTGACCAACATAAAAAGATAACCTTGATTACTAAAATCAATATCAACTAAAAGTAAAATTGAGTAACATTAGCTAAAAAACAATATCGAATTATTATTTTGAATCATTAAATATATTTAATTTTAAACAAAAATTTATATTTAATATTAAAATACTTATTTAAAGATTAGAAAACTTAAATTATTTTATTTAAACATCATAATTGTAACATTCCAAAATACAACATAAAACCATATATAGAATATTCACAATTAATAATATTACAGTTCAGTTCTGAGAAGCAAAGGTACAGATATGGCCGAACGGTCTTATGAAAATACTGCAGAATTTAAACTTTACCAAACTACAGTCTATATCAAATGATTTCAAAACTAAGCTTATACCGAACGATTTTACAAAATAAAACCCAACCTAACGATCGAACGGTCCTAAGGTTCCGCTTTCTCTTCCACTTCTTCTAGAGCTTCAGCAGCTCTTCTCCTTCTGCTCACATCCATAGGATGATCATTGCAACAGAAATAACGACCGAACGGATAAAACAGACAAGACGAAAAAATATAGGGTAAGCTTATGTAATTTAATTAATTCAGTAAAACATATATTTCACATAAATCTAACATAATTCAATATACAACCATGTAACATCCAATCATGCACTTCCAATCAAAATTTCAAGTCAAAGCATGCAATGATTGACCACTTTACTCTGACTGTCCGGACTGTATGAATTCTGTGTAGCTACGACGTTTTTGCACCCGGGTGATGTAATAGCTGGGATGCCCTCAACAACTGCCACCCGAGGTTAGTCCGTTCCGTCTAAGTTCACCTTATGGATTAGGACCTCTTGTCATTCTCACACATGACTTACTCCTCTCTACTTGAGAATGAGTAATCACAGAATATCAGGATAACCGCTAGCTAAGCATAACCACATTCATACTCTACCATTCAATAACCACTCATGAGATATTCCTCCCTGGAATACTCTTTCATTTCCATACCATTCCATTTATATTCTATAATACAATCAAACCGAACCAATACAAACAGATCCCATCTGAAATCAAACTGAACAATAACATTCCCCCAGAGACAAGACCGAACGTTTTGAATACCTTCTAGACTAACACAGCTGAATACTTAGTGCAAGACCGAGCGGTCTTCCACTTATACACCGAATAGGACCGAACGATCCATTCTAGATAAAAACTCATCATAGGCCGAACATTAGTAATAGTATTTGGACTTTTACTTACTACTCAACAGTTACTACAGAATAATATTTTACTAGACCGAACTCCTAAGAATGTACCAAATACTAAATATTACATATAATTTAGACTTAACCGAAAATCATAATAACTATTGCTAGAACCTAAGAACTTAACCGAAGGATAAACCGAACGGTTAATAATGACTCTCGGTTACAATTTACAGAATTATGTAGATTAATGCAGAATCATGATCAACTATGTTTCTACCCAGTTACACCTTTTCATAAATCAACAATACACTCAAACAAACATGCAATATTACAACATCAATCATAACATCATACCATCCAATAAATCATCATCAAACAAGAATTATAATTAAATTACAAGCTTCCCTTACCTCTAAACGTAGCCGAACACTCAACAATGCAGTATTTGGCTCACCACTACCATAAATCTTAGAATTCTACAGTCACGCTTTATGAAACTAACCAACAAAATACCAGAAATACTCAGAATGAGATGATAATCTCATGCAACCAGAATCTGGATTTGCATGTGACAGAAAAACGAACGGTCTAAGAAGAGAAGTACTCACCCGTTTAAACCACAACTTGATCGGTTTAAATGAAAGCCCTTGACGCCGGGAGAGTTCAACCGGTGCCTGATTGGTGATCGGAATAAGAAAAAGATGAGAATTCTTAGAGAAAAGGTGGATATTGTAAAGAGAAGGAGAAGAAAATGGAGATCAACAATTTGGAGAAGAAGGGTATATGCAGAAAAGTGGCACGAAGTTTGAAATTTAGCCTTAAATACTACCGTCACTAAAACCGATCGGTCACTCAGCGCTGCACACCTGTCTTTCACTATCTGAAAATTCAAACCCTTTCATTGACACTTGGCTTCCACTATTTGAAATTTTTAATGGGTTCTGACAATAATTAAAAGATAAAATAACATAAAACAATTTAAAGTTATTGTGTTGTAAATTTTGTAGAAATTATGGAATTATTTGGAACACATATACAAGGGTTGTCTAAGAGGCACAAACACCTACTACTTAGTCAAACATTCAAAAAGGCTTTAAATGCTTTATTGGTCAACCAACCTGAAAGGTATCAGTACTTAAGGGTTAACCAACCTATTTGGATAAGATAAACATTATCCACTTTTATTTTGTTTTAACCTTTTTTAGAAATAAAATGGGTTAAGCATGCATATATTTTATTTTTTAAACTAATTAGTATTTTGAACATGTGTATTGTAAAACATAAATATTTAGTTCTAACTAAAAATAAAAAACAAAGTTAATATTTTTAAATATTGAATGAAAAATTATAATGGATAGTTTAAATCGTTATTATGTTACTTTTAACTATTTGCTAAAAAAACATTAAGATTTAATTCATAAATATAAAAGAGATGAATATAAAATAATGCTAGTTTGGGTTGATTAAGATGTAATGTTTTTTCCTAATTATGAGATTAATGCGTAAAATGTACATTAAATAAAGGTCTCACTTTCTGAGTTAGAGAAGTTGGATATTTTAATTTCTACAATATAATAAATTAGAAGAAAATGTTAGAAATGCAATTTTGAATACACTTTATAGAATAATATTAGCATATTTCATTTATTGGGCATTTCTTATGAGTTTATGGTTTGCAAAGTTTTATCATATAATGTATATTAAGTATAAAATATTGCTAACACTCTTCATATTAAAATACTTCTATCTTATGAATATGCACTATATCTTAATAACTTTACAACATAATCTTCTC